GACACGCAAACAGCCATTGAGGACAGCGTGTCCCCCCCCCCCACTGTTACGAGCACAAACCCAGGAGTGTTAAGGGATCACTGCACAAGCAAGTACCACTAACATTAAAATTGTTCCCTTCCATTTAATAACATATTTAAAGGATAAGACTATGCATACAAAAAAAAACAACAAAAAAAAAATTACAAGAATCACTGTTTTTTTTCAGGTATTGTTGACTAAATAAATATATCGTATGCAAATTACAGTATCTTAAAAATGTGATCCAGTGAGTGGTGCCTTTATTAATATACAGATTTACATATTTACAAAAATTAATGTGATATTTATTACGTTTAACCGAAGTCAAGCAACTTATTTATTTATATAATTACTTGTAAAGGCCTTTGGTGACAAGCCAAGGTATGTTACGCGTGTGTGTCTGTGTGGATGTGCACAGCTCTCCGACACAGTCCCTAACCCCGACACAGTGGCTATTCATCGCAATCCCCTCACAGAACAATCTCCGCCGAGGAACAGAGGATGAGAGCAGGGCAGGAAAAATGAGGGACAGATGCAGCCTTGTGAGCCAATTTAAGAAATAACTGCTGATACATCAGCTATCGACTGGTTCGCCGTCCGCGATAACGCTCAAGGCGAAACTGCGGGCGAAATGACAGCATCAACCGCCGGCAATAAACCGCGGCCCGCTAGAGCAGAGGAGGCCTAATTGACAGCTGTCAAGCTAATGGAAGCCTTGACGGAAGATTCCGGAAGAAAAAAATAATAAAATGTTTATCAGCTGCAGCTTGGAAAGGAAAGAAACTTCCCCCTTCCCGGGCTGTCGTGCTATTCAAGTCTTAGTATTTGCTGCTCCCTCTACACTCCTTCTTTTCTCCCTTTCTTTCATTTTTCTTTTTCTTCCCCACTCCCAGCTTCCTTCATTGTTGTTCACTTCTTGTGGTTTAAAAAAAAAGAAAAACGCCAGGACAGCCATAACTAATCGCACTGTCAGGCCGCTGCTCGAGACGGGGCTAAGCCGAGGAGAGTGATGGGAGGCAGGTTCGAGGGCCAGGGATTCGGAGACACGGGGCGGCCCAGGGAGTGGGAGGAGAGGGCCGGCCTCTCCGCCCCGAGGAGCGGAGGACTTGCGGAGGGCGACACAAACCCAACAGGGTGAATCAAACGGCAAGCCGGCCTATCCCAGTTCCTCACTTCCTGTTACGCCCCCAATGTGGACGTCACCTTTCCAGCCCGTGAGCTTTTCTGGAGAGATCCGCGACCCTCTCCCTCCACATGCTCGGCCCGTGATGTATTTCCCATGAATCCTCCGCGATCAATCAAACGCGCATTCTATCACGGATATCGGTTTGTTTGGTTCACAGGTAATTTAACTTATGTTAAGCATAACTGGATCTGTCACAGACAAAGCATGTGTATAAATCGTCCTCGGGCTCGCATCCGGGGGGCTACTGGAACAAACGTCGCCTTCCGTTCTGGGAGGAAGTATCGGCAGCTTCGATCACGCTTCGAATTGTGGCGTGATGACTGACTTCACCGTGGCGACGGCGGTGTCGCTAAAGGCTAAATGCTGCTGGTTCAAGGCCCTGCTTTAAGATTGTGTTTTACCCTGACTGCTGCCATAGTGTTCGACTAAATTGTACGCTGCATCCAATCTAAGCACCCAGATGATGAAGCACATCCAATGAGACAAAATTTAAGGCACGAATGAGTCTCCAGGATCCTACGAAAACCTTACTACACCTCTCAAGCCCCAGCGATGCCCTCGCTCTGTTCCGGAGGCCTCCTGAATCACCTAAAAGCTAATTCTGTGTCTCCAACACGTAGAAAGCTTTGAAAAAAACACAGCAGGCTCAGATTGCACGTTATTATTCCCTAGTTGTCTGAGAGTAATCAATATCTTAGCGCTTGCAGACTCTGAAGCCAACAAACAAGGCATCGTGTTTGCCGTACTATCTACCCCTAAGAAGAGGAGGACTTTGAGATCCGCGGACCTGCCTTCCCGGGCATTTCCCCCCTACACAACTCCGATGGCCCCAGTATTGTTATTCTACCGGGCCGCCATTAAAAGCGCCCTAATTCTCGCCAACATGATTACCCAGGTAGCGAAACCCATTCGTCATCGGCTGCAGAAAATTGAGTTAATGCACAACTAAAGGCAGGCAGGACTGTGTAATATCAAGCTGATTACATCAAACTAGCTGCAAACCCAATTCAGCCACATGAGAGTGCGAGCAGCCTGTCATATCCAATCATTAGGCCTGTCAGGAATCCATCAGGTTCACAGCTAATTAGGTGAACACTAATGAAGCTGGCGGACCAACTTTTCTTTTTCTACGGCTGAGCGGACCTTTCCGGGGGTGAGGGGGAGGGTGCAAGACAGAGAGTGAGTGAGAGAAGGAAAAGGGAACAGACATTTTCTCACGAAAAGTCTCAAGGTTGCTGCGGGACTGGATTTCCCCAAGTTCCTAATCAGCCTCTGTCATCTGACATCTTCCCTGGCTCTTTCCAAACACTGCAAAGCCGGCAATTTGTCATCAGTCTTCACAAAAAGCAATCGGGGGAACCCTGCAACCTGGAGGCGTGAGAGGAAGGGGGGTGGCAATGGGGGGGTGTGGTCGAGCCAGGAGTGTATATAAATAAATAAGCAGGCACATGAAGGAGTGGTTCTGTCTAAAGGTAAAAGCCTCCCCCTACCGTTTTACGTGTCTTCATCCGCCATCAGCAGAAACAAATGCTTCACTTTTGTTTCACTCCACAAATAAGAAGGCTTTCAGTCATTCTTCACCCCCCCTCCAAACCCCGCGAGTGTCCATTAGGCAAAAGCATTTCGATAAAGCAAAGCCCAGGCCAACGTAGGAGAGCGAGAGGAAAGGCGCTGGCTCTGCCAACCTCTGATTGACCATTAGGGCTATTGATGAATGTGCCTGTCAGGGAGGAGACAATTAAATCAAATATGAAACAAAGTCGTTCTGACGGCTCGTTTTTGACGGAGCGGCCTGCTCTTCCGTCTCCCGATTACACTATTAGTTACATTTTTATAAGAGCCCCGCGCGCGCCTGCGTGCGTGTGCTCGTGTGCGCGCGCCGGCGTAAGCCGCTACGTGCTTTTTATATAACGCAACTGAAAATTAGTTATTAAAAAAAATAATAATAATTTTAAATGACCAAAATACTAAAACAAAAAAACAATCTGAAAAAAAATAATACTCTGCTTTCGGCGCCACACCTTACTGTAAGTCCTAAACCCAGAAAGACTGATAAAATAATTTAGCATGATATCAAACCAAAATAACAATAAATCCATTAATATAAGCAAATGCAAATCGACTTGATACATGAAAAATAACAAATCCGCCCACGACAGCGTGTGTTGTTTAACCGGCCTCGTCTATCTCACTACATTTCACGGGGCAGCGGTTCCGATTCATCCGGGCTGACAGGACGTTTGTCCGGCGAGCTGCTTCGAAGTGTCTTTGCCTATTTTTTTCATGTGTTTTGTTACCAATGCTTTTTTTAACGTAAACACCCTAACATAAAATTATAGCTGAATTTAAGGAGACAACTTTGTGAGGTAGCTCTTGGAATTCGTGGAAAACACCACGATGATCGCCTAGATTCAGATACAGGCGTAAACTGTTGATGTCTTAAGAGCAAACGACTTCTAATACACTGAAATATACAGCTGATATATTGATTTGGATTTCTATCAAAAAGACAGCCATGTAATTCAACTCCTCTGAAAAACAATTCAAGATTACATATTATGGTCTATCCATATTTAAACCTCAGACATGGATGGTCAACACTTCATCATACACTTTCCACATGTATCTTATTGCTGACGTTTCTCTGTCTATTCCTCTGAGAATAGAAAATATGTACATCCTGCATATCTTAACGACGGCTATTCATCTTCAGGTCTGTTTTTAATGTGACCCCAAGCACTTGCAAATTGAACAAAAACTACAAAGACGCAATTAAAGTTGCCTAATAGGTGGTTGTTAGAGCAGACGTGACGTCACAGAGGGTGGCGTTGCCATGGGGAGTGATTTATTGATGTTTATCGGGAATGAATAGATCAAAGGCAGGCCGGATGACAGGGAATCTATCAGCCGTCAAATCAAAGCTGGCAATTGTCCATTATACCGTCTTCCAGTCTGCGTACTCCCATCTCAGGAGCAAGATAATCTTTATGCCTTCCCAGAAAGAGAGAATCAGTCCAGAAACTAGGCGAAAGTTGACATTTCTTGATCAAATGTTTTAGCACAAAGCCCCAAAACAGCGAAGGCGAGCATCAAAGAGATTCATGACAGTCAGCTGACACAAGAGTCCAGTTCCCTTCGCTTATTTATATATATATATATATA